AGGAAATCCAAATCTCCTCCCAAAGTGCCCATTGTGATTCAGGACGATAGCCTTCCCACGGGGCCCCCTCCGCAGATTCGCATCCTCAAGAGGCCCACCAGCAACGGTGTGGTCAGCAGCCCCAACTCCACCAGCAGGCCAGCCCTTCCCGTCAAGTCCCTAGCGCAGCGGGAGGCAGAGTACGCGGAGGCCCGGAAGCGGATCCTGGGCAGCGCCAGCCCCGAGGAGGAGCAAGAGAAACCCATCCTCGACCGGTGAGTGTAGCTGGCAGGGGTGACCTGCCGGCCAGACCTGACCACTCCACCAGGCCACCTTGCGGAGGAGGGGGAGAGTGGCCTGGCTGCCTGCAGAGTAGTGAAGAGCAGGCAGAATCATGGCTGGAAACATCGGGGCTGCAGCTGCCCACCCCGGCTGGTAGGGCTGGTTTGTTTGCACTGGCTCCGGGACTGCTCTGAAAGCTTTGCTGGCATGCTGCCTCTGCAGACGCCAGGGGGCAGTGTGGCATACAGGGTAAAGGCATGGACTTTGAGTCAAAAATCAGCCAGTTTGAGCCCATCTCTGCCACTTAACTTCTTTTTTTTTAATATGTATAAATTTATTTATTTATTTATTCATTTATTGGCTGCGTTGGGTCTTCATTGCTGCCCGCGGGCTTTCTCTAGTTGTGGTGAGTGGGGGCCACTCTTAATTGCGGTGCGCGGGCTTCTCATCACAGCGGCTTCTCTTTGTTGCGGAGCATGGACTCTAGGCATGTGGGCTTCAGTAGTTGTGGCTTGAGGGCTCTACAGCGCAGGCTCAGTAGTTGTGGCGCACGGGCTTAGTTGCTCCGCGGCACATGGGATCTTCCCGGACCAGGGCTCGAACCTGTGTCCCCTGCATTGACAGGTGGATTCTTAACCACTGTGCCACAGAGGGAGAGTCCCCCTCTGCCCCTTAACTTCTGCTTAACTTAGACCTACTTAACCCTTCTGTGCCCTCGTAGCCTAGTCTGAAAAATGGGATAATGATCATACCTGCCTCGTCCATTTGTTGTGCAATTAAATAAGTGGATTCTGGATGTTATCTTTTGGGTCTTATAATGGCCCACTGTGATGTTTCTGTGAATTTTCTAAATTCTTTTTTATTCCTGGCATTTTTTTTCTTTGCAGTCCTATGTAAGTTTGTCACCTCCTGGTAAAGCAGTATTTGTTGAAACAGCCTCTTTCTAACTTTGAGACTCCTCCTTGGATGGTGTATTCTGGGACTTGAAGTGCTAATCTGTACCTTATTTCTCCGGCTTCATTATTTTGATGGACTTCTGTTATCTCTCCTGTAAGCCTTCACTTGGCAAAGTAGAAAAAGTCCATTTTCTTTAGTTTTCCACAGTAATATGAGTCAACCACTAATCCCATGATTTGGAGAGAAGCAGGAGAGCAGCAGTGGCGGGTGCCAGGTCACTCCGATGAGCTCTTGGTTAGAGGTCTTTACCTTGGCCCGACCTCTGGGGAGTTCCGTGGAAGATATGCTATCCATGGTCACTGCCTCCGGTACAGGGTACAGGATGGGCCCTTGAGCACTTCCTCTGCCTCCGGTGAATGATGGCGAACCAGCCTGTGGGGAAGAGTGCTGCAGGCGCTAGAGGTGAACATGGACCGTCCACCCCACCTGCTCTCAGGGGCTTCCCAGCTTGGAGCTGCACTGAGTCTGCCTGCCAAAGAAGCAGGCTCAGAGAGCCAGTGTTGGCTAATAGCCACTGTGCCTTCTGCCCCAGCTGCAGAATTGGTTGATTTTAAGATTTGGGGGCCTCTTTTATACCCTTTTTCAGGCCTCACTCTGATCTTCTTCCCTTCAGGCCAACCAGGATCTCCCAACCTGAAGACGGCAGGCAGCCTAACAATGTGATCAGACAGCCTTTGGGTCCTGATGGATCACAGGGCTTTAAACAGCGCAGATAAACGCGGGCAGGGAAGGATGCCGCCGCCACCGCCGTCACCACCTCCTGGGTCGTCCGCTGCGGGTCGCACTGCCGTGGCAGACAGCTGGACTTGAGCAGAGGGAACGACCTGACTTACTTGCACTGTGATCCCCTTTGCTCCGCCCACTGTGACCTTGAACCCCATGCACTGTGACCTCCCTTCCCCCCCTTCCCACTGTGATTGGCACTTCTACAAGGGCTGTCCCAAGTCCATGGAAAGGGAAAGGGTGGGGGTTAGAGGAGGGTTGGGGGGACCCACCAAGGACTCAGAGTAGAGTCAGACAGTGCCACTTGGCCGCTTGGGGTGAAGCCAGTGCCAGCAATAACAGTTTATCATGCTCATTAATTTGGGATTTCAAAACACAAATGAGAACTCCCATCCACCCACCCTCAAGTGCATGTCTTCATCACTTAAAAGCAAGTTCCATTTGAAGATATCCTTTCTTTTTTTTTTCTTTCCTTCCTGTTTTTGTTTATACAAATATTTGATTTGCAAAAAAAATGTACACGGGAGGGGTTTTAGCAGTTTAATGAATTTTTAATTGAGAAAGGGTAGTTTGGTAGTCTACTTAAAAATGTTTCTGGTCAATCCACTAGAAACATTAACCAATAGGATTTTGGTGAGCTTAGCTTCTGTATTCCTACTGCCGCCGAGAAAAGGGGCAGGGCTCTGCAGCCCAGGACAGATGAGCACCCCATGCCTATACCTCCCTCCCCCCAACTAAGTACCAGAGCATCTGGGCCCTACCTGGAGACTGGGCCAGCTCTGTAGGCTCAGAGAGCCTGGGGAGGGTGCCAACCCCTCACCTTTAGTATTTTGGGAGATAGGGAAAGTGAACAGGCTTTCCCTTCCAAAACCCCTCAGGGTGGTTCCCTACCAGCTGGGCTTACCACTTCTAGAAGAGGGCAGGGAGTGAAGCCGCACTCCCGGGCTTTAGGAGTGAGGCTGCAAACCTTTCTCAGTATTTTGCTGTCAGCACAAGGAAAGCCAGGAGAGAGTCTGACTCCAGGACTCTGAGCCTCCTGCCGAGTGTGGTCAGAAGGTAGGTGGGTCTTCCCACTCCAGCAAGGCTTAGAACTCTCAAGGGTCTGTGGAGCGCCATCTCTGTTGATGGCATCAGCTCGGTAACTCTACCCAGTACATTTCCCTTGTGAAATCACTACCTTGGGAGCAGACCATTCTGAATAACATTTGGGGAAAGACAAGCTGTGCATCGCAAGGATTGGTAATGACAGACTGGTTCCCCGTAGGCCTAGGTTACCCTCGACCCCTTTTTCCGGAGCAAGGGCCTGGAATGAAGGCAGTTTCCCCTCTGTCTTTGGAGCCTGGAGATTTGCTTTGGCTCTCTGAGGTGGAAGAGGCTTAGGGGCCCAGCCCAGAGCAGCTGTGTGTGTACAGTCTGGCCCCTCTCAGGCTGTCCGATCTCTTCCGTTGCACTTCGCCTTATGTCCCTCAGCCAGCCAGACGGCCTCCTTGCTCAGCAGATGAGTTTTGGAGTGGTTGGTGTGACATTTGTGATTAGGGCAACTCGCGGTGGCCAAGGTGGCAAGCTAGCAGGCTCGCTCCACCTTTGGTTTGCTGGCTCTCAGCCTTGCCCTGTGGGGATGTCAGCCGGGCCCAGCAAGCCTTGGCCCACTACATCTTCCCATTAGGAGGAAAGGTCAGCTGTCGGTTAAGTCAGTAACTAGTCCATAGCACAGGCTTATAACTGCGTGAAGCCAGGATATTGTCCGTGAGCAGAGCTGGAACAAAGCTTCAGTCAGTAAGAACCCGCAGAACATTGAGTGGTGCCCACATGCTGTTCTGAGGGGAAGTGACCTCCAGGAGTGGGCAAGGGAGAAGGTTGCTGCTGTCTTTACAGTTCCGCTGCCCTGACCAAGTTTCTGCATTCTAAACGGATAGTGTCCATCCCTCATGTAATAGTGGTTTCTGGCCCAAGATGAGACTGTCCTTTTCAGTTGGAGAAGGTACAGACGTAGGCCAGGTGGGAAGGCCAGAAGTGCTGATTGCTCAGCTGTCGGGACCACCTGTTCTTGCTCCCCTCCTCTAGTGGGAGCCAACGGGAGGCTGGCTGATGGGTGTCTGTGGATCAAGGATATAGCAGGGACTGATGCTCCCACCTCCCTCCGGCCAAAGATGGGGCTCTGCCCGCTGTGTGCCTGCCACCACCCACCAGCGGTCATGTCCTGGCTTCCCAGATGGAGAGGTGACAGGCAAAATTTTAAAGAGAAAGAAATGAAAACAGGAAACTAGTGTGTTGGGGGGAGGTGGGAGGGGAGATGAGAGAACGGTTTGGATTTTGTGTGTGTGTTTGTGGTTGTTTTGGGGTTTTTTTGGGGGGGGTAGTTGTAACTTTCCTTAAGTGCTTTTTTTTTTTTTTAATTTTTTAAAAGTAAGCTGCAGGCTTTGGCTTGGAAAACCCCAGGGGAGTTGGGGGCAGAAACCTGAGGCTGCTGCCCCTTTATCTGCCTTCATGGTACTGTCCCCTTCCCCCAGCTCCTCCCTGACTCTGTGAGCCAGGCCTCAGACCTTCCAGCTAACTGCTTCCCATGAGCCACTACTCTGATGTCAGCCTATAACCAAAGGAGCTGGGGGTCTGGGCCTGGTGACCAACCCTTCTCCACCCACTCAGTCAGGGTGCTCCCCACCTGCAGGCAGGAGGCAACACCCTATCTGCTACCATCAGCCCCTTCCAGAGCCCACTGCCTCACCCCACCCTGTCTAGCCCAGCCGTACCCTGCTCTGCCCCATCTGGGGATGCTCTGCTCAGGGATGGGCCGGCAGGGCTGCCCCAGCCTCCCTGGTAGGCAGAGACTCTGGAAACCTCTGGGGTCCTGTTTTCGGCCATGTGATCCCAGGGGTGCATATGGGCCCCTTGGGTATCTGAACAGAAGGGCATGGGAGGGAGGGCCGCACCCCTGCAGTCCTGCTCTGCTGGTCTAGCAGGTAGCTGCCCACCCTACCCCACCCCGCACCGCGGGCTCCTGAGTTGGCAGATTAAGCATTTTATAAATTGTATTTTAAATACATGTTTTAAACTTGTCAGAACCTTGTCCTCATTTCAGTTTCTGGCCTCCTAACCTCTTGCTGTGGCTGCTTGTTTAACCACTGGGAAGCTATCTCTGCTCAGTCCTAGGGAGGGGCTCTCTCTTTGAGTAATAGGACTGGGGTGGTGTATGGATTGGGGCCACGGACCCACATGTTTAGGCTCCAAGGGAAGGGCACCCCTGGGTCTTGGCCCTCTGTTGGTGAGAGCATGGCTGAGGCCCCTCCTGCCCTTCCACAGGGTCTGTCCGTTTTAGGGGCTAGGGTCTTTCCCAGGTACTTCCCTATGTTCACCCTTCCCTTCAAGCAAGTGGGAAAGAGAATTCCTGCCCTTATGGGACTCCTAATCCAAGGCGTGGAGACACCCATCTGAGAATGGTCCCAGTTCTGTGCTTTGAGAGTGCACAGGAGGTCAAGACTTTGAACCCAGGGCCACCTCTAGCAGGACTCCTGACCCTGGGCAGTGTTTTGAGGCGAGTCTTGCTTCAGGGGCTCCGAAGCCTGAGGGAGGCTGAGGCCCTCCGCTCTGAGAGCCGAGTGGAAGGGTGAAAACCTGGGGCCTTCCCTGGCACCAGGCACAGAGGCTGAGGTTCTTGTTGTTTGTTGGCTTACCAGGCCACAAAAGCAAAATCCAGCAGCAGTCCCTGCCTGATGACCCGTCCGTCTGCAGGCCCTGAACAGCTGCCCAGAGTCAGGACTCCACAGGGTCAGTGGGTTCGAGCCGGCACAGAACTGAGCCACTTTCGGCTGTCAGAGCTGGGTTCCCTAGGGAGAGAGGTGGAAGAGAAGGGTGGGAGGAAGTGAGCCACCCCATGTGCCCAAGGGGAGAGGAGTCCTTCCCAGGGAGGTGATGGGGCCAGCAGTCGGGCTCAGAGGCCTGATTCCAAGTCCAGTGTTCTTTTATCCCAGGATGCCTGGAAGAGGACTGCTACAGGGGAAGCTTCCCTCCACCCAGCTGCTAAGCCTGTTTCCTACTACTCCTAACATGGAATCAGACTCAGGCAAAGGACTTAAACCCCCTGCATGAGAAAGGCAGGTAGTGCTACCGAGTCCTGGGCACAGAAAGGCGTAAGTACCCTGACTTAGGAACAATCTACCTGGGATACAGACTCTCAAAGGTTAGTTTCTTCCCCCTTCCATCCTTTCCCCTTTTTCCTCCCTGGAACAACAGTCTCTGAGGCATCTCTTGGAAGGATGGATTTCCCTTGGGTTAGGCCAGGGACTTCATAAGGAAGGAGGTGGATGGGCCTGGGCTGCAGCCCCTGCCCTCTGGGTACCCACCTGCTTCCTTGAGATCTAGTCTGGAAGAAGAGGCTACGGGTGTCAGGGCCCAGGCTGGTGGGGGTACACAGCTCCAGCATGTAGTGGCTGCCCTGCTTCTGGCGGACCGTATTGTCCAGCCACAGGCAGAGCAGGATGCAAGGCACCTGGGCATAGGGGCTTTGCAGGTTGGTAGCTGGCAAAGGTGGAAGAGGCAGGAGAGGGGAATGTTTCAGAGCACGTCCAGTGCTGGGAGGCAGGCAGACCCATGTGAAATCCCAGCTTTACCACATAACAACCTGGGTGGGTTTGGGCAAGTAACACTTAACCTCTCTGAGCTTCTGCATAAGCTGGAGCTGATGGTGGTATCCACCTCAGAGTTGATGATGAGGATTAAAGGGATAATATGCAAAACACTCAGCTAAATGCTGAGCACAGTGTAAGGGCTAATACCTGCTTAAAAAAGAGCACATGTCTTTGGGATGAGTCCTGGCAGAGTCTGACAGCCACACTCTAAAGACTCTAGAAAGCTTCTAGCCCATCACTTGGCACACAGTAGAAGTCTACTATTATGGGAAGGTAACCTTGCCCAGAGAAAAGAGCACAGGTTTTGGAGTCAGACCTGGGTATAAACTCCCCTTTCTGACACATGCTAGCTGTGGGACCTTGGGCAA